GTTGTGTCTCTGTGTGGCTTGGGTATTAAGGTTATTGAAGCCTCATAGAAAGAGTTTGGCAAAGACCCTTCTGCTTTTATTACATGGACTACTTTTAGAAGAATTGGTATAAGCTGTTCTTTGCATTTCTGTTAGAATTCTGCACTGAGGCCATCTGAAAAGGACACAACAAGACAAAAAGGCAGCCCACAGAATTTGAAAAGATATTCACTAACCCCACATCTGACAGAGGGCTGATCTCCAATATTTGCAAAGAACTCAAGAAGCAAGTCTCCAAAACACCAAAGGATCCAATTAAAAAGTCGGCTACAGAACTAAATAGAGAATTCTCAATAGGGTAGTCTAAAATGGCTGAGAGGCACTTGAGAAAGTGCTCAACTTCCCTAGCCATCAGGGAAATGCAAATCAAAACAACTCTAAGATACCATCTTACTCTTGTCAGAATGGCTAAAATCAAAAACACCAATGACAGTTTATGCTGGAGAGGATGTGGAGAAAGGGGAACACTCCTAAACTGCTGGTGGGAGTGCCAACTCATACAGCTACTTTGGAAAGCAGTATGGAGATTCCTCAGAAAAATGGGAATAAACCTACCACAAGACCCAGCAACTCCACTCTTAGGCATATATCCAAAAGATTCACATTCATACAACAAGGACATCTGTTCCATTATGTTCATAGCAGCATTATTTGTAATATCCAGAACTTGGAAGCAACCTAGATGCCATTCAACTGAAGAGTGTATAGAGAAAATGTGGTACATTTACACAATTCAGTAGAAAAAAATGGAATCCTGAAATTTGCAGGTGAATGGATGGCACTAGAAGAAACCATCCTTGAGTGAGGTAACCCAGTCACCAAAAGACAAACATGGTATGTACTCTCTCATATATGGATTTTAGACATGGATCTGGGGGAGTGCCAGCCTATAATCCCATGGCCAGAGAGTCTGGGAAACAGAACCTTCATCCAATGACTGATGGAAGCAGAGGCAGATACCCACAGCTAAACACTGAGCTGAACTCAAGGAACTCAGTGACAGAGAGGGACGACTGATGAGCAAAGGGGTTAAGACTGGGCTGGTTTAACCCCCAGAAATAGCTGACCTTAACAAGGGGTAGCTCTTGAATCCCAGACTGATGGTTGGGAATCCATCATGGGACTGATCAAAACACCATGAATGTGGGTGTCAGTGAGGAGGCCTATGCAATCTATGGGGCCTTGGGTAGTAGATCAGTATTTATCTCTTGCATACAAATGGACTTTTGGTGCCCATACCACAATGAGAGATGCACTCTCACCCTGAACTCTTGGGGGAGGGTCTAGGTCCTGCCCTAAATGAAATGACAGACTGTGGACACCCCCATGGAGAGCCTCACCTTCCCTGGGGAAATGAGGAGTCATGGGGGGGTTGGAGGGAGGGTGTGGGAGGAGGGGAGGGAAAGGGAGAGGGAGCTGGGATTGACATGTGAAGCAACCTTGTTTCTAATTTAAATTTAAGTTTAAAAACAAAAAAATGCACATGAAATATGTAAAAAGTAAATAAAGTGATGCTGAGTAAATAAAAAAGAAAAAGTGGAAAGTGATAGAGGACACATGATATTGACTTCTGGTTTCCAACATAGGAACACATGAACTTACATGAGATACATACTTCCCTCCAACACACACACACACACACACACAGAGGGAGGGGAGGGAGAGAGGGGGGAGGGAGGGAGGGAGGGGGGAGGGAGAGAGAGAGAGAGAGAGAGAGAGAGAGAGAGAGAGAGAGAGAGAGAGAGAGAGAGAGGCTCAGCAAAACCATGAAGTCGTGGCATAGAAGCTGGAGCCACAGTAGTGTGGTTAGAAGAAACTGACACTACAGAACAGAGATGAGCAATGTTAGAGACTGCCAGAGACAGTGCAGAATTAGACAAGAACCCCTGATTTCTTTCCTCCCCCATCTCTGGCTTCCCACCAGTTCCTCTCGCTCCTGAAATCTTCCAGAAACCAGCTGATACAGGAACCTAGGAAGCCATCCTGTTAGAGTCAGCCTCTAGAATAAGAAATGGGGTTCCATGGGAGCCGATTGCCCAGCACTGATGCTTACCCAGTCCGGTACCCTTTTCTAGAATTGCCATTTCTTTTCATCCCTTGGTTACTTTTGAGCGCATTACCTACTTTTGTTGAGGTTTTAAATTATTGGAATGAAATCATGTGCACATTTTACCATCTAAAATGAATTATAATTAATCCCACTTATTTTCTGTATTCTTGACCATTCTTTTGCATTTATGACAATTGTCTAAACACAGGCAAGATCATTGTGTTAATTATTTTTTCTGTTACTGTGATCAAACATCTGGCAACAGCAACTTCAGAGAGAGAGGATCCCTACAGTAGTACATCATGATGGGGACGTCAAGGAAACGAGGTCTTGAGGTGGCTGGTCACCCAGTGTCACAGCCACGAAGGAAAATGATGGATGTCAGTGCTTGCTGTTGGCCTCTTCGTGCACTCCAGGACTGAAGCCCTGGCAGCAGGGTCACCCCTCCTTAGGGTGGACATTCCCACCCCAGTTAACCTAATCAAAGTGATAGATCCCTTATAGGCACACCCAGGGGCTAACTTCATCTAAACAACCCCTCACAGGTGTGCTGGAGGATTGGCTCCTAGGTAATTCCTGCCCTGTTGAGTTCACAATGAATAGAAGTCATCAGTCATCTAACCTGTCTCCTGACTCCTCTGTATTCTTTAGTTGATGACTAGGTCTCAAAACTGGCCCTTTAGGACCAGTTATTTTGGCATGAGTCCTCCACAGGCAATTCTTTATACTTCTCCTGGGAGTGTGTACATATAAATGTTTTCTTGGGTATTAAAGGCTATTATTGACCACTAATTTCCTTCATCCATCAGTCCATACACTGACTCAAGTATTAACAGCTGAAAATGCTGACCAACTAATTTTATTGCTCTTTGTTCATCAGCTGGAGTACACTATTAAGGAGAAGCTAACTCCCATGCCCTTTGTTCACTGTCTTTTGACTTAATTTTCTTCTTTACTTCTTCAGATACGTGACTTTCCCCACTAGAATGGTGATCTTTTCTTTAAAAGTACAGACCACAGAATTTTGCCACAGGTGTTCCTACATTTAAAAAAATTTTTAAACAGAATTAAAAAGTTTTCTTTCCTGCTTCCACTCATTTTCCTGTCTAGAGGCAGCCATTGCTACAATATTTAGACAAGTATCTCACTTTGCAGCTCAGGCTGGCCTCCAATTTGAGATCCTCCTGCTTCAGCCTCCTGAGTGTTGGGATTATAGGCATGGCCCAATATACCCAGATCCTATTATGTGTTGCTTATGATGGCTTCCCCAGACACTGAAATTGTTTGTCTTAAAATGACAAAGCAAATGGGATAAAGTCTTCATATTGGAGAAGAGGAAGTAGGTGTTCCTAAACTATTTTCATTTTTATAAAATTTTAAAGCTATAATTTCTAAGTAAAAAGCAACTTACATATTAAGTAGAATATATATTTGTTTAATTTAGTAACCCAAATATTAACTTTAAGTACTATCTTACCCTTGGCTTTTTTTGTTTTTTTTTTCATTGATCAATATATTTGAAATAGTTATCCATGTTAGAACACAGAGAGATGACTTCCTTTTCAAAGATTGCTGTCATTGCATTTGCATGGAAATATGATAAATCACAGTTGATCTAAACAGCAATTAATCATGGGATATTTGGATTATTTTGTGTTGACAGGGTAAGCATAGCTGTACTGAATGCCCTTTTATAAAGGTCACTTTCTTTTGTTATGTGAGTGAATTCACCTATAGGATCAAACCTAGACGTGGATGACTGCTTCAAAGGGCCTATCAAGATTTACATTCTTAAGATTTATTTTAGTGTGTGTGTGTGTGTGTGTGTGTGTGTGTGTGTGTGTGCTTGTGTGTAGGCATGTTGCCCTTGGAGGCCAAAAGAGGATGTTGGATCCCTTAGAGTTGGAGTTACTACAGGAGGCTGTGAACTGTGGGTGCTGGAAACCAAATTCTAGTCCTCTTCAAGAGCACCAAGTGCTCTGAACTGCCAAGCCATCTCTCCAGCCTCTCTTGACATTTTACTTTTAATAATAATCACCAATTGTTCTCCCTAGAAGACATCCACTATACACTTCCAGTAGCATCTGAGTGTCCTAGTTTCTGTAGACCCTCACCCACATGTTGGATTATGGAAAATGTTGACATTTCCAGTCTGATGGTTGAAAACACCAAATTACTTTGCAGTTTTAGTTAGTTTGTATTTCTATTTTTGTTTAAGGAAATGATTTATTTTCCTGTGAACTGTCTGCTCATATTGTTCACTCTTTCTGTTGGGCTCCTGACTATTTTTAGTTGATTTGTAGGAGATCTTTATCTGTTAATAAAGTTGACCTTTTGTCTGAGGTATCACATTTTTGAGCTAGAATAACCACTTTACAATAATCTCCTTAAGTACTGTAATGTTCCAAATTTAAGAACCAACTCAAGAGTGTTTAATGAAAAAAAAATGACTTACAAATGTTGTAGCCTAGGATTTCTTGACTCTTCTCTAGGAATTCTTTTGTACTGTCAGGCCAGAATTAACCAATCCTTGTCTTTTCCAGAGATGTAAGAACTGGGTGTCAATATTCTGCCCCTCTCAGCATTTCTATACTTCTTGCTGTCTAGGGACAGACCTCCTTCCCCACTTACATCACACTATCTGGATTCGGCACATTTGTCTTCACCAAATCTTATACTCAGTGAGCGAACTGACTTGTTGAAATTCCCCATAACTTCTCATTCTAGTGTCATTCTTTCAGAGCAGATTTACTGAGATCTGCATCATTGATGGGGGGGGGTCCCTGTATTGGGTATGGTAAGAGGAGATAAGGAAATTAAAAACTTCAGTTCCTGTCTTGATCAACAATCCATTTGGGAAGACAAAGAAAACACTGAATTTATAAAACAAATTTGCATTACCTGTGAAAACTCAAGTCAAACAAACCCATTTATTAGGTAGGCATCAATCAATCATACAAGAGTTCTGTAAACTTTCACTTCCAATTTAGAAGCCATGTTGATGGGCCATAAGATTGTGGTCTGAAAGCACACACTCTTGTTCTTCAGAGGTGTCATAGACATCATCTCTTTCATTCTTTAAAGATACTACTGTTTGCTCTTCTTCGTCTTATTATAAATAAGCTGGAAAAAAAACAGATGGAAAGACTTGTTTAGACAGCCCAGATGGGTTTAGGGCTTCACATTGAAGGACAGGTGAGCTTCCCACTACGCATACTGCTTTCAGGTTGGCAGAGAACTGGAGTGGAAGAGACAAGAGTTAGCTGGAATGGATAAATACCAAGTCCATCACGGACCTGAACTCTGGTAAGAGACTGGACTACCAAGGGAAGACTATAATTTTGGCCTCAAACCGTTTTTTAAATCAACTTATTATTTTAAGATGACAAGCATGGCAAACTTCCCTCTGAATCTCAATTTTCTCAACTACAAAATGGAGTTGATATAACCTGCTCTTTAGAGTGGGCTGAAGACAGTTAGGTGTCTGACAAACAGCAGCTGCTTTCGTGAATACTAGGTAACAGTAAACCTGTGGGTCTTTCTGTGTCGTTGTTGTTGTTGGACAAAACACACACATACACACACACACACACACACACACACACACACACACACACACTAGAATCTTAAGAAAAATCCTGTGATGGCTCCTTCAGACATGTCCATGGAGGAATGTTTTTATAGGTGTCAGGAAGAATTACCAGAAAAAAGAGGTAAAAGACTCTTCACTCTCTGGTATCTGTGTGGCACAGCCAAATAAAGCAACTGGTGTGCAATGGCCCCTGCAGATTATTAAACAAGCTCTGGAGTTTATGGTGACAAGTAGGTGTGACATCATCTTTTTGCTCTTTTTTAACTATATGTTATTAGATGAAATGCCCTAACTTTCTTGGCAAGACACCTGTGAAGTGTCTTATTTCATGGGGCATCTGGAGATCACATTGTGTATTCAGTTAATAGCCATTTTAGTACACCTCCTGGAAAGGCTGATTTTGATGTGGCAATTTAGAGGATGCCTGGGATGAGATTAACACAACCTAAACCTGACCCTGACTCTGACTACAACTTTGATAAGCAGGTTGCCCTCTATATTGTGTGTTTGAAGACATGAATAGAACAGAAAGAGCTGCCCCCCAAGCAAGAGGGAATTGTTAGGGAGACAGCCTTCAGACTTAATGTACATCATTGGCTCTCCAGATCTCTGCCTGCTGGTCCATTCTGCAAGATTTGGGCTTGCCATCCCTCATATGTATATGAGACAAATTTCTATAAATTTCTTACTATATACATACAGCCATTAATTCTGCTTCTCTGGGGACACCTGATTCAGCACCTCCTGTTTTCTTGGTCCTGTGGTTACAATGCTGAGACAGATAAGACCTCTCAGGGGTTAAATATTCTTCTTAAAAGTATGTGTAAGTATGTGGGTCTACACATGTACATACAAGTGTCCATGGAGGCAAGAGGCATCAGATTCCCTGAAGCTGGACTTTAGATGGTTGTGAGCCACCAATCATGGGTACTGGTAACCAAACTTGGGCCCTCTGGAAAAGAAGCAAGTACTCTTAAACACTAAGCCATGCTGGGCAGTAGTGGTGCACACCTTCAATCCCCACACTCTGGAGGCAGAGGCAGGTGGATCTCTGTGAGTTTGAGGCCAGCCTGGTCTACAGAGTGAGTTCTAGGACAGCCTCCAAAGCTACAGAGAACCCTTGTCTCAAAAAACCAAAACCAAAACCTAAAACAAGCAAGCAAACAAACAAAAAAAAACCACTAAGCTACTTTCCCAGCCCTGGAAGAACTATTTTTATAAGGAGTGCCTTAGGGTTTCTACTGCTGTGAAGAAACACCATGACCATGGCAATTCTTTTAAAGGAAAACATTTAACTAGGGTTGACTTACAGTTCAGAGGTTAGTCCATTGTCATCATGGCAGGAAGCATTCAGGCAGACAAGGTCCTGGAGAAGAAGAAGAGAATTCTACATTTGGATCTGCAGGCAGTAGGAAGAGAGTGAGACCCCTGGTGACACACTTCCTCCAACAAGGTCATACCTCTTAACAGTGTCACTTCCTATGAGCCTATGGGGGCCATTTTCACTCAAACTACTACAAGGAGGGAGTTGGTTAATAAATAGATAAGTAGGGTTATGGTGGGAAAAATAAACTGGAATGCTGATAATAACTAGGTAGCACCTCTTTTGATTGAGTTAATGTGGGTGAAGCATATTGTAGACACAAAGACAAACACTCTTAGAAATGGGCTCAGAGTTCATTTGAGTGATGAGAATAGTCACACCATGCAACAAACAACAAGAAAAACTTATGTGTTGCAGGAATTTTGTCTGTGTTGTGGTCTGATGTTCAGTGGAGTCGTTTATATGCTGATATAACAAGGGTCACATTAAAAAGAAGTAAGCTGAAGGTGGTCAAAAGTAGAAAGATACAGAAACCTTGATACAATATATTAGGTACTTTTCTGATTGCATGACAAGATGTAATGTCAGAGAGAAAAGGTGTATTTGAGCTTATTGCTTGAGAGTGGGTTCCATCATGGTGGGGATAGCATGGTGGCAGAAACATCTGGGAGCTGTGCTGGCAGGAGTGTTAAGCTGTTTGTTCACATCTCTGTAGACCAAGAAGCTGAGATAAGACAGGGAGAAACCCCAAGGCCCACACCTAGAAACCCACTTCCTCCATCTAGGCTCCACTCCCAAAGGCTCTACAATCTCCCAACACAGTGTCAGCAAGTGCAAGCACAAGTGCCTGTAGAAAGCATTTCATATCCAGATATTCACAGTGGGCTTGTCGTTCTCACAGTGGAGGATTAAGGTTTTAGTGTAAGAGCAATGGGAAACTAATGAAGACGTTTTGTCCAGGAAGAAAGGAAGGAAGGAAGTTAATTTTAAATTGAGGCCAAATTCAGATTGTAAGAAACAAATTCCTTTCACTTAGGTATTGTGTTACAGCAGCCCAAATGAGCATACAGTGTGTGTGTGTGAGGTTGAGAGCTGAAAAGCAAAACCATGTTTGGTTGGCAGTTGATGTGGGTTGAGGTAAGGGATGACCATGGTTAGGGTGGTAGCAGGATGGGCCATGTTTTTGAGGAAGCATCACTAGGGCTGTCTAAAAGATTCAGTGCAGTGTATGAGAAATATCTTGTCAACTTCATAACCTCTAAGACGTGATTATCAAAGAGAAAAGGCTGTTCTGGATGTCTCAAGGCTCCTGTGAGTCCTGAGAGCCCCTGCCTTGAGACATCAAGGGAGATTCCTTGAAGATCTTCTTGATCCCATGCAGTATCCCAAGGGTGTCCAGAGAACAGTCCAGGACATTTTTCAGACCCAAGGCTCAGTAAAAACCAGCAAAGCCTACCTTCCACCAGGGCTATCTCACAGCCTGGAGGCCAGTATGGGAGTTGGCAGCTTCGCTTCGGCATCCCAGACACTACACTCTTAGGAATTAACTGCCCTGACGCCTGGACTCTCAGACCTCAGTGATGTCCAGTAAAAACACACTGGGTGGCAAGGCTCTAGGCCAGAGAAAGGAGAATGGTTCCAGCAGAGCAACCCTTGCAGATGATTGGATGTCAACAGGAGTCTCAGAAGGCTAGATGCTTTCCCTGGTGCCCCTAGGGGGTTGGTGCCTGAGCTTGTGCACAATAGGGATCAACCCTAAGCACTGCAGGCATTCCAGGTCATGTTCAGGTGATGAAGATCCTCTCCAAAAGACAGATGTTCCTCTTTCCCTCCCTTCTCTTGCCTCGGGGATCTTGTGATGAATCAAAATCTATTTGGTTTACAATCTTTGCTGACTCCTCTGGGAAAGTGACCCCCTTTTCACGGATGACTTAGATGGGACATAGAGGCCGCAATGGGGGCTCTAAACTCTCTTCCTTGTTGGATATTTTCTCAACAAGCAGATAAAGAAGTTGAGAGAATCCTTAAAGTCAGCCAAGTAATAATGCCAGTTCTGTTATAACCTATGAAGTACCCTTCTTCTATAACCCATCACCCTTACACAGTTAGAACTGTGGACCCCACACCAACAGCATTGCCATCTGAATCACCTAGTAACTTGTTAGAGAGATGTGAATTCTAAGACCCTCCATTTACAAATGTGGCTTTGTTTTTTGTGTTTCTAGCGATACTACATGCAGGCTGCTGGGAAGAGGAAACTGCTCACCGATATGGTTCTCACTGATGCCATCCCCAGTTCTACAGAAAGTTCTAGAGATGGAATGATACTTCAGAATTATCTCAGCTAAAGCCAAGGGTCCCAACCTCTGTTTCCTGCATTGGCCCACCACTGGCCATGAGTAAACCCTCAGAGGACCCATAACTTAGAGTCTGGTTGTTTCCTACCAAGCAAGTCACTTAGGAAGGGACACATCAGGGAGTTTTTGACAGCTGGAAACTGGGTGAATCACCTGTGAAATGGGGGCTCTGGACAGAATGTAAAAATATTCTCTAAAAGGGGTATTCAAGATATGGGGATAGGGTCAGAAAAAAAATCACTCACTAAAACACCAAGATACAACATCAAAAGTATCAGATCCCAAGAGTGTGTTCCTTGTGAGACTAAAGTGTTTAACAACTCTACTAAAACCAGCAGTTCTCAACCTGCAGGTCACAACCCCTTTGAGGTCAAATGACCTTACACAGGGAGGTCATCTAAGACCATCTGAAAATGCAGATAATTACATTATGATGCATAACAGTAGCAAAATTACAGTCATCAAGTAGCAACAAAAATAATTTTATGGTTGGGGGCGTCACCCCAACATGAGGAACTATATTAAACAGCTGCAGTATTAGGGAGGTTAACAAACCACTGTATCAAACATTTCCAAATCTGGTGAAGACTGGTCCACACTCTCCAGCAAATATGCTAAGGCCCACTGCTCGCCAACAATGAGTTACCGATATGTGGGACTTTTTATTTCCTTCAAACTGCAGGCGGAGAGGCAGAACGGAATGTGGATGGCTGGACTCCCTCCATCGGAGTTGTTGACTGGGTGTGTGGTGTACGAAGCTGTTTCTGAGGAGAACTGCCATCCAGTAGCTGCACCCTATTACAGCAGATGCAATGCTGGCACCGCAGAGGGAGATGGCCTCCACCAACTTACACAAAAATGGCTTGTGACAGCCTGGCCTGGAGTCCCTCTGCTCCTGAGAGGGACTCCAGAAGTGATCCCAGAGTCAAGAAGGACAGTTTATTCAGGTATTCTGAAGTGATGAAAGAGCTTTCAAAACAGGAGGGCTCTCAAGGTGACGCTCCTCTTTCATCTACATTGAGGATACTCATTTTTCTCTATAATCAAAATACATTGAATGGAAAACTTTAAATAATAATTTAAAAAGAAAATATTCATTTCTGCTCAAGCATCCCAACTGAGAGTGCCCTAGACAGTGTCCTGAGAGGCTTGTCACCCTTGAGTCTATCTGATAGCCCTCATTCATAAGCCTATGTCTTATTTGTTAATAAAGTTGTTATCCAGATCATTGGCTCCACATAGTCTCAATGAGACAGTGTGCTAACCCTCACTAGTAAGAATGTGTCTTATTTCAATAAAGCTTTTATTTCCAGAAGCAGCTCCACATAGTGGGCTTGTCAGAACTGAGGGTCAGTCCCTGGGTCATGGCAAGTCAGATGGAGGCCCTAGAGAACAACATTTGGTGAGTATGCTAAGAGAACCTCTCACAGCAAAGGGATGAGCCACTGCAGAAGTTCTGTTTTGTCACAGCCCACATAAGAACTATGGCTATGCTGGGCAGTGGTGGCACACACTTTTAATCACTCAGGAAGCAGAGACAGGCGGATCTCTGAGATTTTGGCCAGACTGGTCTACCGACTGAGTTCCGGGGTTACATAGTGAGACCCTGTTTCAAAAAGACCAAGCAAAAACTACAGCAAGACCTAGGGAAGGTGTGAAAGAGTTTGATGACAAGTATTGGTCAGTACACCTTGGGCTACTTCCCAGAAGGGCATCTAAGTCCCTGTGGCATAAGTACTTGGGTGACATGTGCTAAAATGCCTGGTCCTGGAGACAAACTGAGGGTGATACTAAGCATTCTCAGAAGACCAGTTGGAGGGAAGGGCCGTTCTGATCTTCTGTTCTCTCAGCTATACCCCTCAGAACTGGCTTCAGAAACCAGGACCCCTAACTGTCAGAGCATTTGAAGACCACCTGGGAGAGGGTGGAGGTGGGAACTTGTTCTTCCGACCCATTTTCTGGTTTCCTCTCCCCCCTCCTATGAGGAGGAAACACTTCTCTTTAGTGATTATGAGATTCTGCTAACCCACTGGGTTATCTGGCCTCAGAGCCAACCAGAATTAGATTTCAGGAGAGTTTTGGGATTATAATGCCTTCCCGCTAAGTGATAGGAAACCTGTTCTCCTCATTCCCTTCCAAGGAAAATGAGGATATCTAGCAGTGGCATCCAAAACACTTCTACAATATCCCTGCTAACCAGGGGATACCTCAGCATATTTACTCTTCAGCACTAGAGATGTGTGAACCTCTCCTCTCTGTGACACCCAGTGTGAGCCTCCTGTGACACCCAGTGTGAGCCTCCTCTCTGTGACACCCAGTGTGAGCCTCCTGTGACACCCAGTGTGAGCCTCCTGTGACACCCAGTGTGAGTCTCCTGTGACACCCAGTGTGAGCCTCCTGTGACACCCAGTGTGAGTCTCCTCTCAGTGACACCCAGTGTGAGCCTCCTGTGACACCCAGTGTGAGTCTCCTCTCAGTGACACCCAGTGTGAGCCTCCTGTGACACCCAGTGTGAGCCTCCTGTGACACCCAGTGTGAGTCTCCTCTCTGTGACACCCAGTGTGAGCCTCCTCTCTGTGACACCCAGTGTGAGCCTCCTCTCTGTGACACCCAGTGTGAGCCTCCTCTCTGTGACACCCACTGTGAGCCTCCTGTGACACCCAGTGTGAGCCTCCTCTCAGTGACACCCAGTGTGAGCCTCCTCTCGATGACACCAGGGAGATTTCTCAGAGCAGATCTAGACTGAAGTTCTACCTGCACTTTTGAACCAAGGTCCCTGAGCTGAGTGTAAAAGCAGCAAGGGCAGACAGCCAGATTTACCACAGCAGTGCAGCTGGTCTCCAGAGAATCACTGTTGTTCTCTGGAGAAGTTCTGGTCAACTTCGGAGAAAGAGGTGTTGTCTCTGTTTAGAGTCAGCCAGAGCCCAGTTGCTGGTGCTTTGGAGCTTTGAGATGACCTCTGGCATCCCCTCCCCATAATGTTTTAACACTTTGCTAATCAGCTCCACCCTAGCCCTTGAAGACAAAGCATCTGCTGCCAAGGCTTCGTCTTTCACAGTCCCCAAAGGAGCCAAGGGCCTCCAGCTCCTAGGATCTACCAGATCTCCAGGCCTCCTTGGCACACTGTCGAAGGGTTACTGGCACTAACTTTATTATAAGCTGTTGGTCTCATCTCTCTGTTCTGTGTTCTTCTCTTTGAGGACACAGATCACGACATTGTCATTTCTCCGTGCAACATGGCATCTACTACAGCACTGTTACACAGCAAGACTTCAGAAAACTGCTGATTAGTGAGACTTTACATGCACCAATAAATAAATGTGCTTATGAACATTTGTGGAACAAGTTGATTCAGTGATCTCATCCTAGATGTTGGCAGCTAGGGAACCGACACCTTCAATGGGCAAATCTTCTGCCTGCTCATCCACTGTGTCCCCCCCACCCCTGCACTAAACATTAAATAGAACGAGAACACAGAAGCTGGAAGGGCAGCCTCAGAAGACAAGAGGTTATAGAAGGGCTCCTTATAGCACGAGGTTGTATATAAGGAAGATGAGGCTATGCCCTTTCCCCCACTCTGTGCTGTCTGTTAGGAGTGTGGACTTGAGAGAAGTTTTTGTAAGGGGGCTTTGGGGCTCTGGTATTCCCAAGTTCACCTGGGTGGGCCCCCATTTCTCTTACTAGTCATTTTCTTCGCAAGGTCACCACCTGAGCTTCAGGGTGAGACATTCCTAAAGAGATGATAATCACAAGTTCACAGACCACCATCCCTGCAAACATTGTCACTGAGCCACTGTTTCTGGGCAGCTCACCTCTCCTGCTTGCCTTCTCCAAACAAGGTTCTGCGTCTCTCCTTGGAAGCCACCATGCCTGCCAGCTGCTTCTGACTGCCAGATTCGGGGCCCACATGATGGACAGCTCTCACCAGCGGCCTCAGAAACACCTTTCCAATGTGAGAAGCAGCTCAGGAGTACTCTTCATCAACAAACACCCCTTAATATCATCCCTCCAAGTCCCATACGTACATGGAATGGGTGTTTATAATAACAGTATGAAAAATCTCTATCAAAGGATAATTGCTTACCGCCATTCCTCTCCTGGGGGCTTCTGATGATAGAGAAAGTGAGGAGAGGAAGGGGACGCCAAGCTGCTGTGAGAAGCAAACACCTAACTCTCAGCAACACAGGCAGAATAGTCTCATTTCTTCTTACTGTCAATTCCAGTCAGACACTTAACAGATAGCGTCCTGTGTAGTGGTGCACGGACCATGGGGTCAAAGGCCAACTGCTGTGAGACTTTCCTATTTCTTTGAGTCTTGGTGTCCTTTGCCATTAGCTAACAAAGAACAGGAGAGTAGAGGAGGCATAGTCATTTCTTCTTTTTTGTTAAGATTTAGTTTTTATCTTTTATGTATGCACACACATACATGTGCCTGTCTTTTGTGTTAATATCCATATGTGCAGGTGGGTGCCCACAGATGCCAGAAGATGGTGCCAGATGTCACGGAACTGAAGTTACATATAGTTATGAGCCACTTTATGTGGGTGCTGGCAATCCAACTCTGGTACTATGCAAAGCAGAATGTGCTCTTAACCACTAACACATCTCTCCAGCCCTTATATTTCCTTCCTAATCACTTTGTCCTGAAAGTGACACACATGTTTTCTACCCACATTGCAGTCATGGGAACAAAACTGTCTCATCCATGCAGCACTCTCAAGATCCAAGGGGCTTGAGAGACACTCTGCAAGACCATCTAATACGGTGCGCTGGAGCACAGATCTAGCTGTTTCTGACAGGATAAGATGATATGTAGCAGCGGTAAAGCCATGTTCAGGTAATGAACAGCAACTCTTGGTGACAGAAAGGACATGGGTGTAAGGTAAATTTTGTATTATGAAACTAAGAAAGGGAGAAAGTGAGGAGGACAGCCATTGTACAATGCCACTCTGGAGAAGAGGGACTAGACTGAGCTGCTGCTGTAAGATATGGGAGTCCAGAAAGCAATTATCAAGAGGGTGTAACTAAATGCTACGAGGTTTTCCTGTTCCCTGGTCATGCACCAGTAAAGATTCTTGGGTATGGGAGGGAAACCAGTTAATAAATTAAATCGTTAACGAAACCTGACGTGGCTGAGTGGGGTAGCACACACTTTTGATCTCAACACTGAGAAGGCAAAGGCAGGTGGTTCTCCATGAGTTTGAGGCCAGCCCGGTCTACACATGGAGTCAGGACAGCCAAGGCTAATACATTGTCTCAACCCCCTGACACACACACACACACACACACACACACACACACACACACACACACACAAGATCCTATGCTGTTCTGAAATTAAGTAGTGGTAGTAGCTGCACATCTTTGGAAACAGTCTAAGGCCACTGAAGTCATTTTAAAAGCAAAATTAAATGTCAACTAGACAGTATGAGAAGAAGGCAATCATTACCACTTTGGGGGCACTTCTGTGAAAGGTGCTTCACGTAACACGGTCCTCTCTCAACCTTCACCTTAACCTGAAAGACAGTCATCAATGTCTTTTGAAGGGATGGAGAGATTGAGACTCACCTAAGCTAAATGCCCCAATGTCACAAGAGTGCCACAATTCGCACTTCTCTGCCTGATGCTGAATGTAGCTGGCATTCTCTACGGTGGTCCTTGTTGCTCTTTAATAACAGTTACTGTCATTGGTTGATCTGAAGACTTTGCATACCTGCTAGAACTCCCTTGATAATACTGAGGAGATGGCAATAGCTTTATCATCAAGTCTGAACTCACAGAGGCTGAAAAGAGCTCACCGATATCCCGACTCAGGTGCTAAAGAGATGGGCCAGGTCTCAAAGCTCCATGTCCTTTCTCCTGAAGCCATTTGCTGCCCCATTCACAGGGCAGAAACTCCTCTGCCTTTTTGACAAACAAAGCTTGCTTTTCTTGACCTAATTCAAATCCAGATAACTTCCTTAACATTTTTTAAGGTGGCGACTAGCATGCTGGGATCTTTTGCAATTCCTTTTCGACTAAGCAAAGTCCATCACTTCTTTCAAAGTTGGGGTAAAGGTTCTTTCTCTGTGAGCTCCATAATCAGCCCTCTGATGTTGTTCACCTGCCTTGTCCTTTAGACAGAAAGCCCATTGATTTAATTATAACAGTGCTTCTCAGTGCACTCCTTTCAGGGGTCTAGTCTTAGATTTATTTGCTTGTTTAGGTCAGTTCCTGAACGAGAAGTAAGGAAATTGAGTGTATTTGGAAACTACTGAAGCAACTCCATACAACTGTGACATCCAGTTGTGCAATCAGCGAGTTCATATTTTTGCCTTTTTTATTTCACTTTTCTAGTAATTAATTTTTATTGTAGTTTATAAAAGAATCAGCCTGCAAAAGACTGGAAAGTTTTATATAAAAAGAGATGATCCTGCAGCACAGTTTTGAGAACAGTGATCTGGACCAGAAGTCAACCTATTATGGTTTGTGGCTAAGTCCATCCTACAAACCAAGTCTATAATTAAACTCTTAACAGAACAGCCCCATTCACTCATTTATATGTTGTCTATGGCCACTTTCACGCTATGATTGCTGCAACAAGTAGTTGTGATAAGAACCATATGGCCCATAAAGTCTAAACTATTTACAATCTTGACCTTAATTTTTTCCTGGTTCCAGAACTAGAGCACAGCTTCTCAAAGAATGAGGGTTACATATTAGGAACACCTGGGGGAAAATTTCTAAACACTGATGCTGACTTTGGTTCTCAGAGCCTGTGACTTCTGTGGCCTGTGTCAGTAACTTTAATGTGTAACAACATTTTAGAGCTGGTGATCAGATCAAAAACTCAGTCAGAACCTCTGTGGATTCTAGGGATTACCCAACTGAATCTGAATCTGAGTTCTGGGCAATGTGAGATCCAGGCATGATTGAGTATTTCTGTCAAATTAACCGCCCACAGGGAGTCAAGATGCTTGCCCAAGACTCAGAATTATTGGTCTAGACTTAAAAGCAATGATTTTCAAATCTATATATCAGAATTATATGAAGAAGGTGCTAAGAACATAGACTCCCAGGTTTCAACTTGAGTGAGTCTAATTCAGTAGGTCTCCACTGGATATGACCAGGAGATGCTTCTGTTGAAAGGGCATCCTTACCCCATGCTGAGCAATGTTACCTTTAGTACAACAAACTCTTGATCTTTGTCTCAGCACCCAAAGAGTAACTCAGATTGGCTAATTTTCCACCTTTGAAAGATAAAAAGACCCACCCATCTCCAAATTTTACTTCTCCAGGACTGCCCAAATCTTAATATATTTTCATACATGAATATGTGTGTTAAAGGATAGCACATATAGTGATGTTTACTTAGTCTCATTGAGAGACACCTGCTGAGGGATGTACCTCGTTCTATCTCAGGCAAACGTACATGCATCTCAAAGATCTCAAAGGAGTCTCCAGTGGTCAAGGTCATGCAGGTAGAACAGGATCCAAGAAGACTTGGGTTTTGCTTTGTTTCGTTTGCTTGTTTGTTTGTTTTGGACTGTCTGTGTCTACTTAATAATAACACAAAAGAGAAATACAAAAGAAAACATCGACATCATTGACCTAAGAAGTTCAGATTATATCAAGTGAACCTCACATCAGTCCTCTCCGGGGATATTCTCAAAGGTAAGAGAGCTGCAGTTAATGTAGGTTAATTTGCTCAAAGTCACTGCAAGTTAGCATATGTCAAAGCTGAGATTTGGCATCTGAGCACCTTCTGAAGCATTCTGTCATCTTTACTGTGTCTGCCAAGTGACTGTCTTGACCACTGTCTTAATCCATCTGGACTGGTATGACCAAACACCTTAGTCTAAGTGACTTACAAATGACAAAAATGTATTCCTTATAGTTAAGGAGATGCGGAAGCACCAAACCAAGGTTCTTGTGGGTTCAGTGTTTAGGAAAGCCCATTTTCTGGTTCATAGGAGGTACCTTCTCACTGGCCCTCAGCAGGGCAGTTCACTAGGTCTTTTCTGTAGGGACACTAACCCCCAATATTCTAACCACCTTCCAAAGGTCCCACTTCCAAATACTACCTTGTGGAGGGTTAGAATTCAAGATATGCATCTTGGGGAACAAAAACATTTAGACAGTCAGGAAAGGAAAGAGAACACCCAGAGGCCACTTGAGCAACTTAGGTGATACATTCTTGTGCAATTTTCCCCCAGTTCTTAACTGTGGAAATACAGCTCACTAACTCCTTCCAGCCCAAGTCCCCAGGCAAGCATGCTGTATGCTCTTTGTGATACACTTAGAAGGACTTTGTCACTACCTTATAATCCTGCCACTCCCTTCCTTCTAGTTTCATATCAAGGGGATTCAGAGTCCTTTTCTCACCAAGGATTCTAGTATTCCTTCTTCCTACTCTCCTTGTTACCCCACCAGGCCCTCCTCCCTCTGTTTACTTTGAAGAGTGTCATTGAAGCAGTAGCTGGAGCAGGAGTATTTAGTTACTATTGACTTACTGCCCTGCTGGCTACTGCCCTCAGCAATGCTCCCTAGAGCAGACAGACTTGTGCTAAGTTAACTCAGCAAACTATGGCCTAATAAAATTTTATTAAGACACATCCTTGACCATTCATTTGCGTAATGTACACGACTGCTGAGTAGTCTCTATGGCCTGCAGAAAGCCTGAAATACCCACTTTTCAGATATTTCCAGGGTTGGGACAAGGACCCTGTCTATGAGCTGGAACATGTCTGGCTTTGACCACTATGATCTCCTCCGAGGGCATGGGTGTTTTCCTCATAAGTTTCCCCAGTGTTTGAGTGACACTCGTGAACACTGTGTCACAGAAGTGTCCATGAAGTGAAGAGACACACCTTACTTGCACCCACAGAAAAGTACCTGGAGTGACAGAGTTGTCTCCTGCTCTAGGAAGGAGCTAGAGGAGAGGGAGCAAAGGCGGAGTTCTTACCTGTTAGAGGGGAGAAATATGTCCCCGTGATGGGTCTTTCCACTTTTCTCTGATCCTCTTAGCAGGAGCTACTTGATAACCCAGGAATAGAAAGAGAAGAGCAATAGATGTGGATCAGAAATCCCTTGATGCAAATCTCTGTAATGTTCATGGAAAGTGGGACACACTCACTAATAAGATGCAAGATTCTTACAGCCCTCTAGTGATCAAGAGCAACACTGGGTTTAAGGCCAGCCTAACCTACAGTGTGAGTTCTAGGACAGCCAGTGCTACACAGAGAAACCCTGTCTCAAAAACAAAAACAACAACAACAACAAAAAAAAACCCACAGAAACTCAAAAAACAAACACACACACACAAAAACTACAGTGGGGATCAAGCTTCTACTAGTTCCCCTATCCTGTTGATCTTACAAGAAAAACACATGCTGGCCCATGAATATTTAACCCTTCCACCTACACACAATGGGCTATGTAATGTTAGGGTCATTTTTATTTAGAACCTACATTAATAACTGTATGCTATATTTACAGCTATTTTCTTATATATTCTAGCATAATACATTCACTAACACATTGGAGATGATGTGCTTGGCATCCTGTATGGAAATTTGATTACAAAAGAATTCAGATGCCACCTGGGTGGTGGTGGCACACGCTTTTAATCCCAGCACTTGGGAGGCAGAGGCAGGCAAATCTCTGTGAGTTCGAGACCGGCCTGTTCTACAAGAGCTAGTTCCAGGACAGCCTCCAAAGCCACAGAGAAACCCTGTCTTGAAAAAACCAAAAAAAAAAAAGATTCAGACACCACCTATTTCTTCTGAATTAGTTGCCCTCCCCACAGTGATTATCCCCATGGCTGCTTGGAGGAGGTCCTGCATCTTTAAACAGAAGACAAGGCACGTGGGGCTTCCCCCTCTCGATACTCTGTGGAGCTGATATCATTAAATAGGCCTTCCTCACTGCTCAAGAAGTTGCTTCTGAAGGACCACCCTATGTTTTATAACAATGATCTGTGAGTCGTCCTGGGTAGCACTGTCTTTCTCAAGGTACATTGACCTTGATGGGAACCAATGATCTTAAAGTCCCTGAGAACATACTAGGCAACTCTTTGGGGTCTTTGGGTAGGCAAGACAGGGTCCTGACTTCAGAGGAACCTGTGGTCTAGGTGGCAGGGAAACAGAAACACACAGTACAGTCATTCATCCGAGACTTTGGGACTAGGAAGTCGTAACTCAGGAAGGCTCCCCAGAGGAGAAACATCAAGGTAAATTTTAGATCATGGGTAAGAATCACACAAAAGGATTTTAGTTAGGAATGTGTCAGTAGGTACATTAACCTAGATCAGAGGTTCTCAACCCATGGGCCATATATTAGACATTTATATTACAATTCATAACTAGCAAAATTACAGTCATGAAGTAGTAACAAAATAATTTTATGGTTGGGGTAACCACAATATGAGGAACTCTATTAAAGGGTTGCAGCATTAGGAAGGTTGAGAACCATAGCCTAGAGGCTTAGGAGAAGGTTGTGGAGTTGAAGAGTGGTTCTGTTACTGCCTCCTTGAGATAAGCATGTGCAGGTATATGTAGAGCCCCAGGTGCCAAGCACATAGCTGCTCGCCTAGCTGGGTAGGCTTCCCATTAGTTAAGATGCATCTGATCACACTAATGAGTCTTGTTTCCTCAAGGTAAGGAAACGAACCTCAAGATCCTTTTCTCTGACTTTTCTGGGTGCTCTGTGTCCTCTTGGAAAAGTAGCCACCACTTCAGGGTGCTGAGCTCCTGTGAGCCAGTTTCCAGCATCATGACTAGGCCCGAGTAACATTCACTGGCCTCTGCGGGTCCTGGCGCTGTTCTTATGCAATCCTGATTAACAGCTGGTTGAAGATTGTGCCTTTGCTTGTCCCTACATACTTTTAACTGGGAGAGGCATAATGAAGACCAAGACCCCTG